ACATGGAGGAGTCAACACTTCTTACCTTTTTTTGGTATATGTAGAAAATATTGTTTATGACTAGATACAATTCCATACGTATTTAATGATGTGACAAATATCAATTTTTTGGAAAATACTATGATTAAATGTTATTAAGGACATCTCTAACATTTAAAATGCTAGAAATTGATATATTGATTTTTATTTTTCGAGTATGTTTTCCTAAAAAGTTAGAACTTACGAGTTGTTAAATAAGTATCGAATTTTTTTTTTCCTGCTAAAATGACTATGGAAGTACTGGACTTTCCCTTTCAAAACAATACATAGAAATATGCAGGAAATGTTGTTTTGGAACACATGTTTTCCGGAAAATGTTTTCCAATTTTCTCATGTTTGGTTGGGTTAAATGTTTTGGAAAATGTTTTCCAAATCAACTCATTTTCCTCAAATTTAAGGAAAATGACTTTACTTCAAAACTTAAGGAAAACATTTTCCAAACCTCTCTTCCAACTTCAAATTACAATTACTTTTTTGTTGAAAAAATCAATTTATTTTGTCCCTATCCTCAAACCAGCCCCTCAACACAACCCCCCCCATAAAAAAAAAAAAAAAAAATTTAAAGCTTGTTTTCAAATTCAAATTTTTTACCCCACCTTCACCCCTACCCCCACCCCCTCCCAAAAAAATATTAAAAATTGTTTTTAAAAGATATTTCTAATTTCAATTTTTTATTTTTTTACCCCTCGCCCCCATCTGCCCCCCTATCAGCCTCCAACCCCCTTCAAAAAAAAAAAGTTTGTTTTTAAAAAATATTTTCAACTTCAAATTTTTAACCCCCCAAAAAAAAAAATTGAGTTTGTTTTTAAAAAATATTTTCAACTTCAAAATTTCATTTTTTTACCCCTACCCTCGACCCCCCCACCCACCCACCCCCTACCAGCCCCCCCACCACCCCCAAAAAATAATTTTTAAGTTTGTTTTTCAAAAATATTTTCAATTTCAAAATTTAATTTTTTTTCACCCCTACCAATCCCCCCGGCACCCCACCCACCCCCTACCAGCCCCCCACCCCCCAAAAAAAAATTTTAAGTTCGTTTTTAAAAAATACTTTCAACTTCAAAAATTTATTTTTTCAGCCCAACCCTCGACCCCCACCCACCCCCTACCAGGCCCCACCCCCCAAAAAAAATTTAAGTTTATTTTTAAAAAAAAATTTCAATTTCAAAAATTATTTTCTACTCTAGTTAAAATAAAAGATATTTTTCATTCATAAATCAAACACTAAAAATCTTTTCTGAAAAATATTTTCTACTCACCAACCAAACATGAGAAAATAAGTCAAAAATCAACTTGTTTTCCAGAAAAACATTTTCCTTCCTACCAAACACAACCTTAATCCATCATAGTATGCACTAACATAAGCCAAGATAAATTTCGAAAGGAAAAACAGAGATACATTAAAGAATCTATCAACTTTTGCTGGAAGTTAGGTCCATGTCCCCTTCTGCTTTTGTAACTTTTTTGGATGTTACAGACGTGGTAGGGGTCAAGCCTAACCCCACACAACGTTAAAAAAAAAAATTAAAAAACTGTTTGCTGGAGACAAAATCTCTATATACAAGACAAGGCAGGTGCAGCATGTACACAATGCAAGAAAGGCCTCAGCTGACAGATCTTAGTCCAGAATTTTCCACATACAGAAATAGTATCTCAATTCCAGTTCCACCCAAATGTAAATGAATTTACGAAATGCAATTTCCCTTGACAACCATGACTATGAAACTTTGTAGTCTTCTCCATGCCGTTGTTTCAACCATCTGAAACATAAGGGGGGGGGGGGGGGGAAGTCAGTTTTCGCACACATTTCCTTCTTGGAAAATGGAGACGCGGGTCATTACAAGCAACCACTAAAAAAGAGAAATTTTAGGAGAAAACAAGACCTATTAAGATGATCCAATATTGCTAGACATTTTAAGAGCCAAAGAAGCGCAGGAAGAAAAAAAATGCAACTCAGAAACTGAAAGAGAAACAGAGACTTACCCAAGACCGAACCCCACATCATTATATGGAATATGGAAAATGTTGGACCACTGGGCGTTTGGGCCACTCCAATTGGTGCAAATATCTTCTGACTGTGGGCAGCCAAGGTACCGTGATTTGGTGAGACGTCCCATGGTATCTCAGCATGGCAGATGCTCTAGTTTTTTGCTGTTCCATAAAGTTAACTGTTGCAAAGTAACAAGGTTGCCGAGTCCATCCGACAGATCTTCTAACAATAGACAATCCTGGATCCAGAGAAGCTGCAATTTGGGCATGTCATCTGAGAAGTCCACATGTTGCAGCCGATTGCAGCCCACTAGGTGTAATCTTTCAAGAGAAGTAAGGTTGCCAAATCTATGAGGAAGAGCCTCGATTCCGAATCCATATATCCGGATCTCTTTTAGGGCAGAGAGTTGCATAAGCTGATAGGGCAGAGAATCCCAGTGCAAGTGTCCCCACACCTCCAATGTACGAAGGGACGATAGTTGATGAATGCCATTAAACATTAATTGGAATGCCTCAAAATCCACCATCTCTGAGAAAGGACCAATATGTGATTCCCGTAACCTAGTGAGATGGTGAAGTCCCACTGAGGGTACACTAATCAATTTGGGACACTGTGATAAACCCAAATATGAAAGTGAAGGCATTCCACACACATGTAAAGGGAAGGAAACTAAGTTGTTACAGTTGTGGACCTTCAAGGATTCCAGGGACCGACAATGCTCTAGTAATCCACTTGGTAAACTGGTCAATCCATCACAGTAACATAACTCAAGACTTTGGAGGGAAGTCAAATAATTCTCTCCTTTGGGAACAGGAAAAAAATTGAAATTGGTGCAGTTGTCAATCCTTAAGCTCTTAAGAGAATGGAGATTGTACAAGCTTTGTGGCAATTCACGAAACTCTCCACAATATGAGACTGACAGATGTTGTAGAGACAAATTGTTGCGTAGCATCTCATCTGGAAGACAAGTGAGCTCTTTCACATCATAGACACTAAGCTCTAAGAGAGATGTCAAGTTGTTGAACAAGTTCAACAATGGCATTTCACTGTCAACTACTCTAATCTCTAATTCACGTAGGATTTCAAATTGATTCGGAATACTTTTCAACAATGGACAGTTACTAATCTTCAACTTCTCAAGCCCAGGAAACATTCTTACTCCATTTGTTGGTATCAATTCCACTCCCTTCCACTTAATAAGGCTATGCATATCCTCCAAGACTAGTTCTTTCAATAACGGGAACACTTGGATATTGCCATTATTGCTGCTTGATCCCTTATTGTTAACCTCAATACCATAAAATATAGTTCCAATGCATTCCACCTTATGGAACCCTACCAGCTCTAGATGCCGAAGGAATTTCAGTTGGCCAAGCGATGGAATTTCTTTGCACCTTTTGCAACCACTTAATTTCAACTTGACCAAATTTGGTAGCGATTCTTCACTGAACCATGAAGGAAATCTAGTACCCAAATAGTTCTTCACTTCAAATGTTTTCAAGTTAGGATGCGGTTGAAGACCATCCAACACATGCTCATCATTGATCTCACATCCTTCTGATTCCTCGTGGGACCATAAATATGCCAGCTTGTAAATATTCAATTTCTCCCGTAGACATGCTGTTCGAGCTTCTTCTCTATCACGAACCAATTGTAGACCGTTGATCCTCAATTTACCTCTAAGGTTCTTCAAGCGACCTAATTCTTCTATTCGACGGCCTTCCTCCAAACCCACATTGAAATACTGTAGGGTCTGAAGACAAGTCAATTGTCCCAGGTTAAGTGGCATCTGAGACGAAGAGTAGAAATATATGTGTCTCAAACTTATCATATTTCCCATCTCATATGGAAATTCCTTGAGTGAATAGCAATAATTGACTCTAAATGTTTGCAAATTATAGAGCTTGCAAATGGAGTGGGGCAAGGCTGTGATCTCAGTGCTCGAGATATCTAGATATCTCAAGTATATTAACTTCCCGATTTTGTCTGACAACCCAAAGATTCCTGAACTGGACAAATTTAAAACTCTCAAGAACTTAAAGCTCAACAGCATATCTTCCGATATATAGTTGCTTCTCCAGAACAGTGTGCACAACCGTCCTGGCTCATTTATCTTATCTATTTGATCACTTGGTGAGTCCCACCCAAAGTATCGCACTTGAGAAAGTTTTTCTCCATCATTGCCCTTCGGATCAAATAGTTTAGATTTTAAGATATCTCCAGCCAAATCATGCACAAGATCGTGCATCTTACAGTATTTTATATTGTTATGCTCATCTAACACAACATCTTGTAGCAAGGAATTTCTCAACAAGAGTTGAAAGAAGTTGTTCCCGATGTCTTCCATCATGGTGGTCTCTTGACATGGATGAAGAAAGCCTTCTGCCATCCAGAGTTGGATTAGTTGGTCCTTTTCAAACTTAAAATCTTTTGGAAACATTGCAAAGTAAGCAAAGCATTTTTTCAGATATGGAGATGGTAGATAATCATAGCTGAGTTTTAGGATTTTCTCTATGTTATTTTCGCCGTTGTCATCTTCACCTGCAACAAGGGGGTTTCCATCAAGAAATGCTTGCCATTCATGTTTTTCCTTGTTGCATAAGAGGCCTCCCAACACACTTGCAGCGAACGGTAGACCTTGACACATTTTAACAATCTTGTTGCCCATGCTCACAAATTCTTCTGGAACCCTGCCATCAACAAATGCTTTTTGTTTGAAAATAGACCAACAATGATCTTCTGTTAACTTTCCCAAGATATGAAGATTTGTTGCTACTGTGGAAGCCACCCGCTTCATACGAGTAGTCACAAGAATGCAATTTCCTGTAGATGTATTTATTCCTCTCAAGGTGTCAACGAACTGATGCCACGATGTAGAGTCAACACACCACAAATCATCCAGGACTAGAAAATAGTTTTTTCCTCCCAATTCATCTTGTAGCTTCTTGACTATTATATCTCTCCTTTGAACCTCAACTTTCTTCTCTGTCAGTGATTCGAGGATTTGTTCAAGAAAGATCATAATTTCAGACATTTCAGGTAGACACAACCAAATTCTCTTTTCAAAGATTTGCTTGATGTGTTCATCATTGTAAATCCTCTTAGCCACAGTCGTTTTCCCTAAACCTCCCATACCCACTATGGGAATGGTGCACAGAACAGCATCCTCCTCTCTCATGTTCAAAATTTTCCCCTTTATCTCAGCAACATCCATGTCTCTACCAACAACATCAGAAGCAACTACTAAGGAATCTGTTTCTCGAATTGGTAGTATTTTCCGAGAAGGAACCATGAGTGATTGTAGACCGAGGTCTTTGGCTACCTTATTGATAGCCGTCAACTCTTTATTGATGTTGTTGATTTTTTGAGACATCTTTCTTTTAAAAGCAGTATGAGAAAAGAAACCACTGACCTTTTTCATTGGGCAGTTTCGGATGCTCATCACTTTTGTTTTGAGAGACTCATATCTGAATCGATCAAACACATTTTCAGCATCTTCAGCAACTCTCTCAAGCCTGTTGAGCCATTGTTCCACAGACTGTTGTTTGTCAACTTGTGGTCTTTCAACGTCATGAATAAAAGCTTGGATTAAGGATACATTTTGTGTCAACGTTTCGAGATCTTTGTTGAAATCCCTTGAGCTGTTGACCTCCTCGATAGTGAGAGAAATCAACTTTTCAAGCAAAACTTGAACAGTAGCACCAATTACAGCATCGGCCATTGTTGTGTTTCACAGAGTCTTGTTCCTCTGCACCAAAGTCTTCTCAAAGTTCTTGCACAAGTCTTCTTTAGCTAAAGAGACAACAGTTGATAGTATTTCACAATAATTCAGCAGTGAAAGAAAATTAGTGGTTATGATGAGACACAAATCATATCAGAGACTTAGGCCATGTTTGGCATTATCGTTAAAAACAGCTTATTTTTAGAGGGAGTCACTTTTTTAAAATGGTTTTTCTTTGTGTTTGGCTAATTCATTTGAGAAGTACTTTTCATAAGAAAATTGCATTTGGCTAATCTTTTTAAAAAGTGTATTTGAGAGTCAAATTACAATAAGGGACAACTATTAATGTACTCTAAACATTAAGATTATTCTATACTTCATATCATACTTCACAATAATTAAAACAGTGAAGAAAATGGTTGGTTGTGATGATTCCAGAGACACATCTATCTCTGAAAACACAAACATAGAGTCAACACTTTTTTTGGAAAATATTGTTTAAAAATAAAAATGAAATATTGAAAATTATTTGACTTAGTTAAATTGATAATAAATCCTTTAAAAAATTTTATCACTTTTATATTTTCGAGGGATTTAGCTGTTTTCCTATAGTGTCTTGCTTTTGATTCCACCATCACCTGTTGTTGATTATGTTTAGGTTATCGCATTATTTTGTGGTTGTTAATATGTTGTACTCTAGCCGAGGAACATCTGGAGGCACTCTCCTTACCTCCACGAGATGGGGGGAATGGTCTACATACTTGTAAACTTCACTTATAAAATTTCACTAGGTATGTTGTTGTTGGTGTTTATATTATTCTCTGTAAAATTAGTCACAGCATTTTCTGCTGTGTCTACTGGGCAAATATTTCTCCAAGCATAGAACGTAAAAATCAAATAGCAAACAGATTCTTACACAGTTAACACTCTGCAAATGACAATTAAAAATCCTCATCGCGATGGGGAAAAAGCAGTATCATTCTCAGCATTATGTGGTTACATTACAAACAAGACAGATGAAAATACAAAGCATGAATGACTTAACTAACTACAACAGTGAATCGCTTTTACATCGTTATAATCTTATACACAAACTACTGTTCTGTAAGAACCCAATGCCTTCTGACATTTTACCTCTACAACTTGATCATTAGAAGCAAGAACTGAAAAAAGAATTGCCTTGCTTCCAACAAAATCCTCATAATCCTTCCAACTGTGCTCTATTGATATTATAATTAGCAGAGTATTTCAAGTATCAAGGAAAACGATGAGAAGCATTGAAGTCAAGCTACACAAGTAGGAACCGATCATCAGCTCCCAAAAAAGTAAAAGAAGAGCATTAGTTCTAGCTAGTGGCAGATTGAAGGGAACACTGCTTGATGAACTGCTAACATATTGTCCAGCATTCATGAATTCATCCTTGCCCGAGGTTATAGACACATTCACGGGTGATGAACCTATAACAAAAGCATTTTATATAAGTGAATGACATCCGAGCTCCCTCCTTACAGAGAATTGCTAGGGTGTAGATATTCATCAACGATCTCTAAGCAAGGTGGCAGTATGGAGACGTAAGCAATGAGAATCGAATCTTAAAAGATGGTACTTACAATCATATTCTACCCATCCAATTCTTTGTCGGGCCAAGTCATATACTATGATCTTATCTTTAAGAACAAGATCTGTAAAAGAAGAGAAAGAGAAGTGAGTGTCAACTAGATTCAATCGTTACTCTAGATTCTCTATAGTCTGGCAGTAATGACGCAAGCAATGCAACTAGGAGTAGTTTAGTTGTGGTATTGAAGCAAATAATCCCAACATAAAATTCCTCATAAGATAATACAGTGTTCGGTTGGTCAAATAAGAACAAAGTGATCACCGGACAATTGATTTATAGTTTGTAGTAACCACCACATAACAAGTGCTTCAGTATTAATTATTGCATAAACAATATATCCTTGCATTATAATCCCCATATAACTAGTAAGTGAACCAAACAACCCCCTAGGGAACCAGCAAAGATACATATTGTACGACAAAACTACATCATGACATCAATATTTCCACTCCAAATCACATAGAACATATGACTCCTATAGCCACTTGATCGTCTCACTTTTACCTAGCATGAGATCATATATCAAGGACACCCATTCCCTCCCCCCTCCCCCACCAACCTCCTCTTCTCGTGTGAGGGATATAGTATTACATAGTTGTTTCAAAGACTGGAGCATCTCATAGAGTATTAGGAGAAGATAGTTAAGCACACATAAAGTTGATCCATATTGCATTATATTCATCACTTCTCACAACCAATACTAGTTTTAGCTTTGGTCTATGGCCACATGCCGATTGTCAAAATTGTCACTTTTGATTTGAGGTTTCAACAGTGGACTATTGGAAACTATACAAACACTTTACACCTCATCCCTTCAATTTGAGTTCACTGTTACTTGCTGCATGAAAGGAATGAACAAGATACAAGCCTATACAAATAATTCAGTTTCACTATTTACAGCTACAAGAAAGACAAACACAGAGCCAAGATATACAAAAGGCTGCTACATTATGTCCATGAACTACGTTACACCAAGAACTCTGCATCTGTTTCTACAACTGCTCTAGCGGACGACAATCTCCCTAGCCTATACAAGTACTTCTGAACCAACATTATCACAGAAACAGAAAGATCATAGCACAAGGTGTTTTCTATAATACAGACAGAACCATTAGAAATGGAAGTGCAACCACATTCACAATATAATGTTTCTTTCCACTAATCAGCTTTCCATGAATTCCACTTTCTGCTCTCTTTGAACATCAGAGAACAACTGCCTGTGATAGATGTCTATACATGCTACCTTTCGGCTTATTTACAATTGTTTAACCTCACTGAAATCTCACTATGATAGTCTAAAGCTTCGAAGGATTTTATAAGAGCAAAGAACCAAGAAAATCTAGTAATAGCAGGAAATGCATCTGGGCTAAGAAGGAAGCATATTTTTCATCCATGACTTGAGAAAGTAGTTGACAGCATAAAGGAGAATTCTTTGATTCTTTCAAATGAACATCAACATGCAAGGGACTGAAACTCCCAAACTTCAATGAAAATTTGTTAAGCACCCACAATACTCAAGCACACATGCATAAAGATTATCACCCACAATGTTATGCAACCACTAACGAAGTTAAGATGTAGATGAAGCACGAAGTAACCATTTATCCAGAAACCAACCTCCTAAGATTGTTAATCCTAGATCATTTTCTTCAAAGATAACACACCACATAGCAGCACCTTCCTGTTAAACACATAAAATAGAGTCACTTATCTTTGAAGTTCATAAAAATTGGAAGATAAAAGTAACTTGGTTATATGACCTTTTAGTAGAAGATGTTTAAATACAAAATATGCAGGTTCTAACACTCACCAAAAAGCCCATATGAGCAAGGTAGTCTGCTGGTCTTAAATCCATGGATGCATCACCAGCAAAGTTTAGAGACACTGGAGGAAAAATATCCTCGATGCTGTTTGAGAAATAGGGGGACATGCTCAAGTCACCAAAGAGGTGTGTATAGACCATTTAAGTTCTTATAACTACGATTAAACATTCATTGAAAACAAAAAAACAACCTTGAAGAAACTAGATAGCACGGCCTTTTCCCTGATATGATTGGCCTGGCTGAAGGTGAAACAATTGCAGTTATCTGCAGATGAATAAGTTAAAACAAAAGTAGAGAGAACTTGTTAATTAGTGATGCCCATCTGATCTGCGCATTTTAGTGATTCGACTTTGCTGTTTCTCAAAGTAACTCCAAGAAGCAAGAAGGATTCAAACTTCACCAAAGATCAAGGATCCTATATAGAGATTTTCTATATCCATTGTAACTTAAATCATAATGTTTTTTGAATATTTGGTGCTGCTCTAGCATGTCTTTTCTTTTTTTGATGACAAGGGAAACCAAATGTCTTTATGAACTAAATACCTTCTATTAGGATTTAGATAGATTCTTGTTTGGAGGTTTAATCATTATATTTTCTTGATTATTATTTAAATTGACTTCTTGCTAGAATTGTTTACGTAATAGTACTTTTGATGATTTTGATTACTTGATCACCAATTAAATTGCCAAGGTAATTTAAGTTTACCAGGAAGAAGGAGAATTCAAGTCTAAAACCTGAATTGGATAGCCTTTAATTATACGGAGTCCGTTGATTATATTTGATTAATACTGACTAGAATCCCCACCGGAAAAGATGGTGATTATATAGGGGACAGATATATAACCACTGACCTTAAGCATTCATCTTTAGATCAAGACTAATTCTGGATTATAATCATAGCCTATGGTCCATAGGTATAACTTATAAGTTAATGGGCAAATATAACAGGTTCACTCAACAAAGAAATATAATTGTGGAAATTAATTTAAGAATCTTGGAGCAAATCGGGAAAAAAAACACTTACAGCACTGATAAAGGGTTCATAAGCTTCTGACGCAAGATAAACTAAAGTAGTACCAGAATCAACAATAGTTCCTCGATCATTAGAGGACACAAAAACTCCTGGATCAACAGGTAAAATTTGCCCATTAACAGCAATGCTCTGCAGATATACAGTGTAATGAACCCTGCACGATTGGAGAAAAGCAACAAATAGATGACACCTCAACGATCCTCTTTCTGAGTACACACTATTAACAATGCAAATAACTGATTGGAAGCACAAGCATGTCGGAGAACATCAAAAACTATCAAAAGTGGAATACGTGTTGAGTACATGAAAGTAACCTATATGTTTGGGTAAGTTACATATAGTTACCTATATGTGAAGAGCAATCCATCTGGCATTCAAAACTAAAATGATGGATATATTGAAAGATTTTCACGTATTGATGTTGCCACCATATTTACATGTAGACTACTTTGAGAAACATAACACATCTTGAAATGCCAAATAGAATACCAAGCCCTTGGACTGTTGACTTATATCAAGAGCCTA